ATATAGTGCGACACGAAACGCTGGGTGGTAAGCCTCTTGTCTGTCTTTCCTCTTACTGTGTTATATACTATCTGTCGCCTTTCTTGCCAAAGCAAAACTTCACTCTGCTAAATATAGACCGCATCGATTCACGATACCGAACAAGTTTCATTCTAAATGGAAAATAAAAACACATGACAAAACGCATAATAGCAGCATCAAATGTTGGATAGGTGATCGAAGACACTTCTATTCTTCACGACTCCATCGTGCCTGAAAATGTCTACGTTACCTATACCCGTTTTCGGTTGCCGCTAAGCGAGGCGATACATTTTTCGATAGTGCTGATCGTACCATATCGGAGCACGCGATTGATTTCTTAGCTAATCTGTTTTATTCCTTTCGCAAGATGCTCAGCATCAACTGACACTTGCCTGGCACCCTCGATACGCACATACAAAAATATACGGGATTGCTTTGCTTGTTTGCGCTAGCATCTATTGACACGGTTTCCACTAGCCGATAGAATACGATATAGAAATTATCAGACCTAGATTTTCGTAGCAACGCCGTCCACTAACCCTATAAACTTACATATAAATAATACATATCTAATGCACACATACACAGAAATTGCTTCAAAGTATATGGTCATTGTAACCTATCGTATCCTCACAACATAAAGACAACGATTATTTTGTTTTGCTTTTTTTTTTCTACAAGACAAGAACAGAGAACCTACACGTGTTATTGGCAGATCGGTTTAGGCTGCCGCTATGCGGGGGTACCACGGGCCCGGTCACGCCAGTGCCTCCACTCACTACCGGCAGCCGCAGCGACGCGATACGCAACGATTCAATAGGTCACCGTAAGCGAACATAGGGGTGTCGCGAGGGTTCGGTTATTTTTCGGGGTGATTTTCACCCCCACACAGAAGGGCACCGCACAGCAGAGCAAGCCAACCATCAGCAGCCGCGGAAGTCGGCGCAGAGGAGAGGTTTGGTCGAACAGGATAAAAGGGCAAAAGCCATTTTGTCCATTCACCCGTTCAGGCAGTATCCATCCAGACAGCATTTATATCAGCATACAGTCACCACCATCACCATACGCATAATAAGACGACACATCAGACCCGAGTTGTTAATATTAATATTGTTAGTCGACGTGATCGTCTTATTATCAAGAATTACTTGTGGCTGTGATCAACAAACGTGAACAGGTCTACAATTTGTTTTTCCTTTGCTTTTGCTCAATGTCGTACATGAAAAAATTTCTAACCCTCTCATACTATTTCTCACAAGAAAGCAAAGCATGTCTCAGTTATTTTCTAATAGATGCCTTTTCTATAGTTTTTGTATGAAATTAAATACAAACTGTGCTGTACGCAGCGCGTGAGGACCACTACATATATATATATATATATATATATATATATATATATATATATATATATATATATAAACAACCGATATCTCATATAGGCAGGAAATCAGTTATCTACTAAACAGGCAATGTATAGGTGTTACGGCAAGTTTGGTTTCATGGTACAAAATACAGTTGGCAATTGAAATAATTTTCTGTATCCTCGAAAAATTGACACGAACCTTAAACCTACAAACACCGGCACACGAAAGGCAAAGTTCGCGAACTTCGTCATATTAATACATAGCTATATTTAATGAACGATTACACATTAGGCGGTGAATGGACGTAAGACCGCTGTTTGACAAAATACTATTGATGGTTGTGCAGACGAATTAATCAAGTTCTGCAACTACAGCTAGTTATGCATTATGATCAGACTAAACAGTATGGGCAAGCCCATCCAGGAGCGATGAACAGAGTCAATTGTAATAGCAGGCGCTTATCGTAAACCTCACGATTTATTGGAATCAAGTTAACGGTGAAGGTCCTTTGTATTTTTCACGCAGCATCCTTCCAACGACTGGAAAGCACAGGGCATATCAGGCTGCACCCCGTACTCACCATAGCTCTTGAGATAAAATGTATCTAGCGAAATACATAGTCTATCTTCCCTACAAGCTTGTTGATCTAATATTTCTGTTTTCGTCGCTTCTGTTCTCGGCTTCTCGCTAAACTTCGCACTGAGTACCTCCCTATCTAGCTGCCAGTTTTCAAAACGACACGTGCATTTTTGGACATATAGATCTGAGCAGAATATTCTTGATGACGAAATATATTCTACAGGCGGACTTATTCCATATCGGTATCATTGTAAACAAAGGTAATACGGCATGGTGAGCCCATTTTGGGATTTCGTAACAAACCTTCTTTATGTCTAAATTTGTTCAAATATTCAATAAGTTACGAACTTACCTGCTGGTTTGGCAATCTGTTTTTTATGCTGAGGCGGCGCGGGGGCAACAAAATCGTTGTCAACCACAGCCACTCTTGTAGTACTTCCGTTTATTTGTGTCGTCTGAAACAACAGAACATTCATAGCGCACTTAGTTAGCGCACCGAAACAAAATTTTACGTCTATTAGCACATTTCACAGCTTTCTTAGTTTACTGTCTTATCAAATGTCCACTGCACTATTACCCTTTTTTTTTTAAATATTTCTACTAATAAGTTAACACAAAATTGTTAATTGAATTTTTGCTCATAATTCATACGTCACCTAAATATTTTTACAATGTCCGATCGCGTTTTTTGTCGGTTTTATAGTTACTTATACATTCGTTTATGAGAAAATATCGTCCACTGAAGTATTTTCATCATGTCTACAAACCCTGCCGTAGTGTTGCGGCTGCACGATTGCCCCCACCGGGGCAATTGCTATGCGCTCAAGCCGAGGTCCTGTAGCGCTCAGGTTGGGCGATGGAGCCCCTACGAAGTATTGCGGATTAAGAGCCACGATGTCCATGAGTGACACCTGCAACAATGAAAAAGTCCGAACAAGTCTGTTAAACGAGTAGCAATAAAATAAGGGAACAAGTGTTATTTGGAAACTGCCTGCTGTCATTAATTTGTTGTTGTCGACTCATTTGTGTGGTATCACATTTGACCAGCCCACGTTACTATGACATGCAAGAAGGGTCTCACTCCTTTGCGTGGGTCTAATCGTGAATCAATGACTTTGGGAAGAAATCTTCTCGAAATAACGATTGAATAAATAGTGACACCTAACCGAAAGCGTGAAATTGTTTCACAATGTGTAAGTATAATAGACCTACTGCAAGCTCCAGCTTTGTGTTGACCCGGGGGCGACCTTCCGGTCATCTAACCGAACAAAGGGGCACTTATATCGATTGCTCTGATTGTTCTAGATAGCTTGACCTTGATGGCAATCGTGTCTTGCCGTGTAAGCGATTACACTGAGTTTCTAGAAAGATAACTACGAATTCGCTTATAAAATGGGCTAAGCTGCGAATCGTATCCGTGTGTATGTAATATATGTATGTTATTATACTGACCAGAACTTTGTAATCTTTGTAAGGTTAAGCGGCAATATATAACGTATTTCGTGACTAACGTTGCCCATTGGACTTGGCGTTAAAACAAAAGTTTAAATTTTGGGCTTTTTTTCGATTAAGTACTGCCAACTATTGTTGTGTATTGAGTCACTATGGGGCCAGTTCAATGAACAAAATAAATGTTAGTGCATAATTCAAAAGTGATTTCGATCGTGATTCTCAATAACAAACTATATTAAGCGAGAGTGATTTTCTAATTTTGCCTCATTCATTTATAAGTCTATTATAGTTTACTTAATCTGACTGTGAATTTGGACACAGAAACAGCTTTAACCAACAACAGCTATTGCGTGATATGCAACAGACTCACGTTTTATCTGCTATTGATTGCAACTCGAAGCCTTGCCATTAATGTCCAAAAGCCGCCCTAAATAACTAATAAGTGATAGCTTTTTTCGAAAAAAATAGCAAAGATAGATAATACAAGATTTCGCGGTGCTCCGAAATTTTGTTTTGTAAACTCTTAGAATAGATATCAAATTACGCGCTAATTAGAAACTTGTTCTTGAATCAGTTTATCTCATTCGCCAACTTTCATAGAGACGCATTGCAGTATATAGAATGGGGTAAATGTAGGCATGCGGTTCGGGGAAAATCTATGCTTGCCTAGCGGGCAAGCCGGAAAGAAGTTCGTAGTTAATTAATTCTTTAACTGGAAGTTTTACTTCAAGCTTGGGTCTCTCCCCACTTGAAGGCTACTGTAGTCCGATCCTGTCACTCAAAACGAGGAAATAACATATCTAAACTAGGTCGTACCTCTTTGCCTTTAGTGTCACCATTCTCGAACCATTCAACAGTGACGGTTCGATTCCTTTCGTTAATTTCCGTCACTTTCGCCGAATGAACCTTTCCTGTAACGATATAAAAAGGAAAACGACTATGTAATACATAACGTAGCTGATATACAAAGGACACGTAAGGACATCACAGAGCTAATTGACAAAGCTGCACAAGTTACGCTGAACGTGTTTACGACGTTTGTGCTAATATGCGCCGGTAAATCTAAAATAAATAAAAAATATCTAGCTTTGAAACGTCTTCCGCCACGTAGTTGAAATGAGTATATACTGGATTACTAAGCCAAGAATGCTAAGCATGACATGAGCATTTTTTAGTGAGGTCATATGATTTTATTCTTTTATGAACAATCCAAGGTAAGAGATGAGTCCAATGGTTAACGTTCAAAACTTGGAATTGCCTATGTTCTAAAACATTTTTGAAAATCTTATCTTTTTCTAAAAATTTTTATGTCACTGAACACACAAGGACATTCAATGAAGATTTAAAATGGGAGCTCAGTAGCTTTTTTCCAAAGATTTCAGGAGCATGCGGCCAGGAAAATAAAAGGATGTACAAATAGTTCAAAATGCTGATTGATAGTCTGAATGATCTTGCTCCATGTGAACCTGTATACACACAATGACCATCTAGGTATTATGAAAGGTGCTTTTTTTCACTTTTGTTGACATGAATTACACCTTCTTCACGTTAGCTCACGTAATTTGATAAGTTTGACAAGCGTAAAAATTTTCTAGAAGTGGCATGCAAAGGCTGGTCTAGGTTTTGGCACATACCTACCGTTTCACAAGAAAATATGTACAATGGTGGAGCAGCTACAAACCTAACCTACTTCTAGTAGGACTACTTTATCAATACTTTTATGTACCTATTCCCTAAAACAAATACTTCGAAAATTATATCTGTTGCCCCAATTCATCCTTAGATGTTCCTCTATATGGCAACAATGAAATGTTGACTTCATCATTCAAACATTACAAAATTTCTAATTAACTTTTCTTTCTATGTGTTTTGATAGAGCAATATTACATCTGCAACGTCATCGCACCGCAGGCTGAAAGTTTACCGGATACCACCAGGACTTCCAGCGAGGCAAACGAAGGTCGACGAATAAGGTTGATGCAGTCATTATAACAATCAAAATAACAACAAGGAGGAGAAATGAACGCAGTAATAAACAATATAAATGAGGTTTACCAGAATAATCAAACCATATTACTGTTTAAGTACGCGTTGAAGTTTGCATATACGTACACAATATACATCGGCGGTTACACATAAAAATTCGGTTGTCGTCCGTCTTCAGCTGCTCGTTACCGTACAGACTGAATTGCTTCAGCTGTTTGGTCCTGATATTGTATAATAACTATGGACAAGCGAACTGCAATTGTGCGTGTATGTGCTCCTGCCCCTGACAGCATTCAATGATAACACAGTTTTATTTTGTCCCTGTATGGCTGTTGTCGGTGTTGTTGTCGAAGTAGCTTGTGTTACTGCTTTAGCCAAAACAAGTCGGGTCCTACTCTAGGGCATCGTGATAATACGGATATGGGTATAGTGTTAACCGGCCCGGCCGTGAAGCTTACGCGGCCTTGGCCAAAGCATAACAACCGAATTGTTTTGATATTAATGTCGTGTCGTACAGATAACCTATACAAGATCTAAGAACAAGGTTTAGACAACGACCGTGGATCGTACTTGTGCATTTCTATCAAATGAGACTAAAGTAGCATGGAATCGCTGAATGAAACTTGAGTATCCTGCTCCTCACGATATATACCAGTGACCAAATACGATTAATTGTGAGTTGCCAGTGAGCGAACAACAAACAGCGATACTCAAATGATTTGGTTATGTAGACGACACGTACGGTAGGACAGAAAATGCACAGATGTAAAGCAAAAAAAAAAACGAACCGAAGGTCCAGTACGTTAACTACGCCCAAAAACTCAAAGTTACGCCCAGTGTACATAGCGTTGCATTGTACTGCAAACAGTAGCAAATTCTAGTATGATGCCAATACCAAAAAAATTCGGGCTCATCTTTGGACAAATCCTCTTTGGATGGATCGAATGTTATCGAGAATATTCTGGAATAACTATTTTAACACTGGACCCTACTATATAAGCTTTTCTACTTTGTATACTAGAAGGCCGCGTCGGTCGCAACAATGCCCTGACGGTTTAACATACCGTGTGTCAATTATCAATATTTGCATGAAATAAAATAACAGAAAAATGATTATTTTTGAAAAGCCTGTCAAGGTGTATATTGACTAGCTATGGCTAATCGAGGCTGACGCAGGCACTTTCCTTTGCAGTTTTGTTGTTATGTTGTAATATAGCGCAGTTGTAATAAACTTGATTATATATGGCTGGTACAAGCGAATCCGGCGGATTTTGAAATTGAATCATTTTTAAACTAGAAGTAAATCAGTGGAGAAATACGCTTGCCCTCTAGTTACCCTTTTTTGGGCACAGAAGGCCCCGTAGTCGCACCGATCTATATGGGAAGAATAAGCGGGTTGAAGCCAATGTTGAATATATCGTTACTATATTTAGGAAGTAACTGAGGCATTGCTATGAAATCTAGAATTTGCATCAAGTGATCGGACTGCATACTTTCGATTACCGTATCAGCAGTCCATAAATCTCTTGAGAAACTCAAGATAGCTGCCTGCATTTATTGGTTATTTTTTGACAGATGTTTCTGATGTTCATTGAAAATTCTATCATTATCTTACGCCCAAACTTACTCGATATAGCTACCGAACTCGATTTTTTTACAAGGCGAAGCCATTTTCCTAGCACCCCCCCCTCCGGTTGGCGGTAGAAATTAAATAATCTCTCATCTACAGAGAATGCACGATTGTTCTTTTCTTGATTTAAGTTCTGCAAATCGCACGTGAAATATACCACATGCATCTCCAAATGCGCTAAAATCAATTCACGAGGGACCCATTTTTCACTCATTGTCAGTATTATAATTCTACATTTGAGATTTCATTTTTGGCCGACAAAACCCTCAGATTCTAAGCTCTGCTTACTTTCTTGCTGGTCTTCGAAGTTTCAATTTTCGATCTTAGAACGCTTGTACGATCTACGTACTGTCTTTTCATTTAAAGTTTCGTTGCTTTACGTTTCCACCAGTGTTCGATAAATTTCCGCAGTGCTGTGGCCTTCAAGAAGCAAAAACTTGACCATTGGGCATCGACTGTCGAGCCTGATGATTATCCTGTGAACTGATTTTTAGCGATGAAGCAAACTCTAGCGGTCTTCATTCACAAATTTCTAGAACACTTAAGAATTTATTAGCAAAATTTCGTCTGCTAGTAGCGCGCAGTTCAAATGTTACTCATTTTTAAAGTCCGCCTGATTTGCTTATAACTAGCTACTATTTATAATTATTATTTATTTGTTGAATTTTGTTGAGTTGCAGGAGACATTTGCAACAACAAGCTTGCCGACCCCGGCATCGGTCCCCGTAAAAATATTCACTGTATTAACAGTTAAAAAATAGCAATCATCCCACCTACATCATTTGTGCTCATACACAAATAAATAGCTTGGCGTGTTATAATAATAGTACCTATACACGTCGAAAAAACTATGTCTCATGCTTGCATCATCGCGATAATTAGTTTTGCTACACGATGTTGCCCTTGGTTGTCAATCTTAATAATCTCTGTTCCGCACCTCTAATACGAATTCCTAACCCAACACAATAAGCTAGTGTTCAGATGTCGTCTCAATTAGATCGATACAATAAGCGTACGTTCCTAGCGGGAAGGGTGGTCGGACGACTCGCTTCTGTCATCAGACGAACTTCAAGGGATGAATTTCGTTAAGCAGACGAAATAGAAAATGGTACATGATGCCACCAGAAATGAATAAAAAGATGAGCTACAGCGTGGTCTAGAATCAAAATCGTTCCCAGTTTGTATTACTGCATTTGGTTTCCACAATGATTTAATATCGAGTAGTGATGATATTAATCATTGCAAAACTACCATAATACGATTTGTACGATCTAGCACTATCGTTAGTATTACTGATATTATTATTGTTGTAAGCCTGGATTACAGCTGGCAAACGTTTGGCATTCGTGTGAGATTAAAAACTACGTGAAAAATGGCATCAAAAATCTATATGAATGACAGAAGCCATTGTAGAATTAATCCACAGCAAGCGACCCGTATGTTAATGGCGGCAAGGATCTGCTACAATGAAACATTTTTATTCTGGATACATTGGTTACCACTGAAAGTTTCAGTCAACTATTTTATTGGCAAACAGAGTCTATGAGCGTATGACGGCGACCAAATAAAGTTATGAGGTGATTCCAGCCGCTCACTGATGTATTCGTCGCGTAATTAAAGAGTCTGCTAATAACGCGGCAGATGTTCAGCAAACGCTTAAATCTAGAATAGAAACTTACATAGATTCGTTTTTTTGTTTGTTGCTACATCACCTCAATGCTTCTGTTATTGTGTTGTTTTCGTGACTCTCAAAGTTCCGGGGTTCCAGTAGGGATTATCTCACTAGAATCGTCCTTTTCCGGCTCTGTATAGAGACATAGAATGTCAATATTAGGCAATAGACCAAATTAATGCTAAGAGGCTTTCATGCAGTTAATTCTACGTTATTTTATAAGATTATATGTATAAGCTTGTCGACTGATTGGTATCTGATCCTAGTTGTAGAATATTTGCGTGAGATTTGCGTTGGAAGACTCTATATTATAACCCAATGTGTGGATTCGTTCAATGGATGAAAGGAGCTCGCCAACTTACCAGAAAAATTCCGCACGTAAACACAAATAAATAATTTTGATTCCTAATACCTGTTGTATCCTCATTACTATATATATATATATATCCTGCCGTTTTTCTTCCCTTTTCTAATTCAGACAACTTTATGGTGTAACGGTCACCCATCCGTACCGAAATACGAATTATTTCTTCAACGGATATTTGTGCTGCTAAATAAAACTTTTATATTTTCTATTAGGATTTCGTTAAAATAGCTGTGACTCGTACTATTAAATATCCCTTTCTTATGATAAACACACCAAAATGCTAGGTGTTTTCCGAGAATTGTCCTATTGGTCCCATCAGTATCTGTAGATAGTTTTTTTAAGTAAACGGTTATAGCTCATTTCGAAATAAATATAAGCACAGTTAATTCATTCGATTGTACTGTAACAAAATAATACATTTAATCGTAAAGATATTAATTTGCGAGCTAGTTCGTAATGCTGAATTTACCGGTGGAAAAGTTGCAATCTGTACTGTTCTGAGAGAGCTAGAACTCGTAGTTTTTTTTTTATTAAAACATTTAAATAACATTATAAATGATAGAAAAAATGTCATATGACTAGATTATCCCAAAATGTCACTTGGGTTAATTATCAACAAAATGGTTTTCGCCGAAGACGTTACATAAGAGTATCGTGTCCCTTCACAACGCGCCTTGAACGAACGATACCGCTAACAGAAATGCGACTGAAGTAAAATAAACAACAACAGCAACACATATAGAAAACAATAATCAAGCAGCTTCTTTATACACGGATCTATAACCAAATCGAGTATCTCTTTAATGAGCATTTTCTAATATTATCAAGGAGAGTGATCGCAACTACAGCTGCAGAACAGGAGATACTCCCTATCATCTCAAATACCGCCATTTTTCACAGCAATTGCGGCTTTGTGCTTCCGTAAGTGCATTGCGACGCACAAGGTTGCGCTACTATAGGGAACGCAAACGGTGCTGCGATGGATGTCGACTGGTGACCACGTCTCGGCGCCCACGAACAACAAGAACCCACAATAGCCGCTACTGATGCCGTCGCCAGTGTTAAGCCAGTGAGAAAATCAACAATCTCCACAACATAATAGCGATCGCGCCGCCGTCGATGCTTTTCAGCCAACGGTCGCTGGGGGCAATGCCGGACCACTGAATAGTCCGCCAAGACGACTCGTCTTTGCAAATTTTGATGAGTTACTAGCCGATTCTGCCAGTGTGATCCAACCGAAGAGTTGGGCAAACACACGAAGACTGTAGTCGTATACGTTCGTTTAGATCGTTGTTTTACCGGGTTCTGAGGTTACCGGTGATTTCGAAAATGAGCATAACATTTTCTTTGTGAGTTTACGCTTTTTGATGAACCGGTTTATTACAAATTGAAAAGCCAGAAGAAAGGACAGAAGACTAGAGAAGGCTTGGCAAAAACATCCGCAATTGGGTAACATGCCCGATTGTCAATATCTACAGCTCATACCGGTAGAAAGTCAGATTATACTTCAGCACGCAATAACGACGACAAGGGTTCTATAATGGGGTTTTCTACAAAACAAAAACAAGTCTTTTATAATCATCAGATTGCAATAAATACCGTTTTCTGTTTTGAAGCACACAGAACGCACTTCTTGATGCGCTAGAAGTTCGGTTCGTTCCTTGTCTTTAGGGACAAATGAATCTTCATTTTTAAGATAGACTCTAAACTAGCATGTATTATCTAACTATCATACCTTAACTATCTTTGCTCTTGTCTGGCTTTTGCTGTTAGCCCTGGATTGCAAAGCGGCATCCTAGCAGCCTTAGGGCTTCTCTAACTATTCATTCTTCCCCCTACAATATAATTCTATCGTTACGTCATACTTCACAATGGCGTAGGTAGATAATGTAATGGCGGCCAAGCCACCGGCAAATGGCGAACTGACTCACGCCAGTCGTTTTAATGAGCAGGCGATCGACCCAATCCGCGGCCTACATAATCAAAACCGTCAATGAGAGGTCGGTCTCATATATAAATGGCTTACAAATCTGTCCCATCAATACCCTCATTACATTTGTGTTACAACATGAACAGAACTATGCATACTTTGGCCAAAGCTGATTATGGATCTGAGCCAGACGAGTCCTGATCGGTAAAACATCTGCCGCGGTTAGCCGCGTCAAGGACATTTTTTCTTGCAAAAAAAACTGCACTTCCGGTATGTATAGTGGCTGCTGCCTACCTAAACGTATGCAATATGATTCGATGTCATATAGCCTATAATATGTGTCATAATAATCGGTGTATTTAAGTGAGGGGACTATTACGTTGCTAGCACCAACGTTGAACCACATATGAAACATGTGACACAATACGAAAAATCGAGCAAAGTAAAAACATCAACATATGTCTAGTAGTGATAATAGTAGTATCTATTAGTAACACCAACCGCCTATCTTCATATGATGTCACTAGCGAAACATTGCTAGACCGTCTTGTCTACGAAGGATGTAGCTAATTACCGATACTACAAGGGTCAATATTCATAGCGTAGCTGAATACCTTGCCCAGGCTAAAATACAACCTGTCTTTATGGCAAACATTAGTCAAAAGTGACACGGTAACGTTTTTTTATTGATATATTCTGCGTCTATACTCTGTAGCTAGCAGATTTTGTCTGCGAGACACATAATGAACTTCCACGACGTTATTAAACTTGCATCGTTATGGAATAGAATGCCAACAGGTCAACGTTACCTTCACATTAACGATACTTTATATTAGGCGATTTAATGAATCGTACGACAGACGCCTATTCAGTCAGATTCGATTGTCGCCGTACCTATACGATAATGAAGATCAACCAACTGACAAAGGCAACTGTATAGGACCAGATTTAATTATCAGTACCGCGTGAGCAAACGAGCGGGGCGACCCTTGACTGCGCCTTGCAACCTGGCTTACTAAGCTACGTTTGATGACAACGGTAACTAACTGTATCACAGCTTCAATTATTAGTTAGGTCGTCCCGTATATGCCAACAAGGATTCTTGTCACGCCGTGTCGAGAGAGAAAAGTAACCCGGTTGGGCGGGAATGCTTTACGCCGACAGGCTCCTTCTTGTATACCCCAGCGGGCTCATTCGAAACCAATTTTAGATCATTGATAAGTAACGTTTTCATCTCAAAATGCATAGGATATAACCAACGGGTAGGGTCTAATCAGACCTGAGATCAACAAATACGCTATATAATATATATAATATAATTCGAACCCATTCCAGAGGCCGTAACAGTCATCGTGCCGCATTCTTGGTAAACAAACCTAATCTCATCATAGCGGGCCACTTTAATGACACAAGCCCGAGGCACGTTTTACGTGTCGACTCAAGTCATAATCTATGATTCTTTATTTTGTCGTAGTCATTTGCTAAAATAGGTTGCAATCGCAAGTGACCCATTGCCAGCAAAATAGAGTTCGCTTAAAAAAGCTGTTGTTATTCACTAATAAGCGTAAGCCTATCCAGAAGATGAGCACATACAGGCTGTTCGGCACAAAACTTACTTTGACTTATGTACTAGCATTTATTATATTTTATTTACTCAACTCTTAATGAGGTATTACTTTTGAAAGCGCTATCTGTGTCCATAGTGGATTTCGATGAGACTTCCAAAAATGTAGCTGCTTCAAATAAGCAACATAACCAGTAATGCTGGAACAGGCAGCTTCTTTTGCGCGTTTTGGATGCGTTCGTTTGCGTGCGAGGAAGACATTCCATTAGCTCTAACGGCATCGGCAACATTTCGGTGAAGATTTGTTGGAGGTAATTGGCAGAGCTCAAATCAGTGTGTATCGCTGACATTCGTATAGATAGAAATCGGAAAATGTACCATCGCTAAGAGAGATAGAAGCGTTTTAAAAATGGCAACTTTCCTGGAAACTGTGTCACCCGACCCCTATTGCAGGAACAGTTTTCAGAGGTCTCCTCTTTGAAAGGGTTTAAATAATAATGAGTATTTTTGATGGAACACAATCGAGTCAGCAATCTTATGGGATGCTCCAAGGAGGAAGTGTGAGTTCGTTCGCAGCTCCATTAAACAGTAGTAGTGTTTATTTAGTATTTCTAATCGTCGCAGTTACTATTAGACCCATTATCTACCTGTTACATCTTCCTACAAATCGCTTAGAGGTTATATAATACATGTACGCCAATTAGCAGGTTGTGAAATCACATATACTTCGATCAAATGTCTAGTCAGTGATCAGTCCTCGGGAGGTACCGCCGTTCCGTTTTCGATACTGCGATAGAACGATTTATCTAAAATGCACGCAAGCTGAGCGCGACAACGAGCTAGAAAATTTCGAAAACCTTATGCTGACAAAAAAGCCCCGCGGAGCCTGCGTAATGAACTCACACCAGAATTTCATTAAGTCACAAAATCAGAAATTACCTCCAGTTACTAATGGTATGTTCTTGTTTATTAGCCTGCCGCAGACAATAACTGATCATCATTAATAACAATTAAAAGCTAAAATTATCCTGTTTTACCATTATAATGTTTGTCTATCGAGCGAGACTAGGTATATGGGCGTAAATTCAGTTTTGTTGAAACATTTTTCATAGGGTC